CCACCATCTTATAAAATTTTCCTTTCAGTCTAAGCGGTACTTTTCTATCACACAAAAAGCTTGAAGCATTCCTCCACTTCAACCAACCAGCTAGAATTCTACTATTAACATCCCCATTTATATCACCATCGCTTTGAACAACGGACCCAAGATATCTAAATCGTTCACACCTTTTAATAATTTATATCATCAGCAAAAAGCATACACCAAGGTACATCCTCCTGTAGATGTCCAGTAAGACCATCCATAACTAAAGCAAAAAGATATGGGCTTAAAGCCGATCCCTGATGTAATCCAACAGAAATAGAAAAATACTTGGTCAATCCTCCTTCAGTTTGAACAGAAGTAACAACTCTAGTATACATATCTTTAATGACTTCAATATAAGTCATATCAACACCTTTCTTCTCAAGAACTCTCTAAAGGATATCTCTTGGAACCTTATCGTAAGCTTTTTCTAAATCAATAAAAATCAAATGTAGATTCTCCTTATTATCTATGAACTTCTCCATCAAACCTCTCAATAAATGTAGAGCTTCCATAGTAGACCTGCCCGGCATAAATTCAAATTGATTAAGAGAAATCTTTGTAATGCATCTTAAACTATGTTCAATTACCCTCTCCCATACCATTAAAGTATGACACATCAACTTAATTCCTCTATAGTTTGTACACTCTTGTGCATCCCCTTTATTCTTAAAAATGGGGATCAAAATACTCTTCCTCCACTCCTCAGGCATCTTTTTAGTTTTTAAAATAATATTAAAGAGTTTAGTAAGCCAAGAAACTCTCAAATCTCGTAAATATTTTCACACTTCAATTGGGATATCATCAAGTCCTACAGATTTTCCACCCTTAGTTTTCTTTAAAGCCTCCTCAACTTCTTATTTACTAATGTGACGGTAAAAAAAAACGTTTTATTATTATTCACGATATTAAGATCAATAAGGTCAATTGTATTTTCAAAAACTTCATTAAAACGTTTATCAAAATAACTCACCCGCTTATGTTGAATATTTTTTTCCTAAGAAAAGTACATTTTGATTATCATCTTTAATACACTTTACTTGAGTCAAATATTTACTTTTCTTTTCTCTTTGTTTGGCTAGTTTATACATATATTTTCACTCTCCTTAGTATCTAATTTATTATAAAGATCATTAAAAACAGAATTTTTAGCGTCAAAGATTGTTCTTTAAGACTCTTTGTGGGTCGTTTGATATTTTTCTCATTTCTCTAAGCTTTTACATTTAAACCAATTTTTATAACATAACTTTTTATATTCTATCTTTTCTTACATATTATTATTCCACCACCAACTATTTTTATTTATAAATTTTTTTTTTCTTTTGATTCCCCGAGCACAACTTTTGCTACTTGTTTAATAGTGTTTATTACTTTATCCCACATAACATTTGTTTTTTCATGAACATCCTAAATTTTAAAATCTTGAATTTTACACATAAAAATAATTTTATTTGTGTCTTTTAGGTTCCCCCATCTAATTCTATGATTATGAGTCCGAGTATTCTTTATTTTACAACATTTCATTTTAAAATCTAAAACTAATAAATGACGTTGGATACTTAAATTCTCACTTGGAATGACCTTACAATCTTTACAATCTCGATGATTTCTTCTTCTCATAAGAAAATAATCAATGTGTTTTATTAGATCCACTCTTATAAGTAATAAGATGCTCTCTTTTCTTCAATAAAGTATTAGTAATAACAAAATCATACGCTAGAGCAAAATCTAAAATAGTTCTATTTTCTTTATTAGTTACTCTAAAATCGTAGCCACCATGAGTATTGAGTATTTCTGAAGTCTTCTGCCACTCTACCGACATGTCCATTTAAATCTCATTTAATAAAAAATTCTTTATTCAAGAGGTATCATTTGAATTAAGTCTTTTAAGTCAATCCAAAATTTATCTTTAGACCATGTATCTAAACATACTTGAGGAGCATAAGCACTGCATAAGCACTTATGAGGAGCATAAGCACTTATAATATTAAAAATCTTAGTATCAATGATAATCTTAAGGGCTATAATTCTACCTCCAACTCAATTAATTTTTACAACATTATCTTTCAAACTCTTATCTAAAATTACACCTATACCATTTCTAGTGCGACTCTCACCAGAATACCAAAGTTTAAAACCTAAGCTACCAATCTCCTTAGCCTTTTCTTCCTTCGACTTTTCTCCAACCCATTTAGTTTCTTGAATACATAAGATATTAATTTTCCTATGAATCATAATATCAACTAATTCCATTAATTTGTCATTAAGAGTATTTATATTTCAAGATCCAATACTAATATTAATTTCATTAGTTTCATGGACTAATTTCTTTACCCACATTAGTCCGTAATGTGGGAACTCTTACTTATTTGGCACTACTTAAAGAACTACAAAACAAATGACATAGTAAATAGAGAAGAAAAAACTGAATTGTACAATCGTTCAGGCTCAAAAAGACAATACTTAAAGGAGAGAAAAGAACCATAAACAAAATGAGATTCAGATAAAAAGATGGTTTCGACTGTACAAAAGAAACACATGATTGAACCAGTCTCATTATATATTGTAAGAATTGCAATTAAAAAAAGAAAAAAATTCTGCTTAACATTATGGCTTTTTCACAGAAATTGTAGCTCATACAAGCTGATAAAAAAAATCTGGTTTGATTATATTGAGAACAATTTAGATGGATCAGATTATTATCTTCAACCATTGCATCTCCAATCAAGGTATATGCTTAATGGAATTTTTCAGTTAGCTCAATCAAGCAACGGCTGTGACCAGAATTCATCTTTCAAGGAAATTGATAAGGATGTGGTCAATTTGATATAGAGATATCTCATAATCTTCATTTATAGAATGATTATTTACATAGACAGAACTTCAAGCAAAGTCTAATGGTTGGATAGAATAGCTGTGAACTTTGACTTGTCATTAAAGAAACGAAAGCATTTAATCTCGCATTGTCACACGCTGCTTGTGGTTAATGTATTTATCATACTTTTATTTCTGCATCAGACAGAACCGTTCAACATGAAATCTAGCATAGCATATATACGGAAGAAACCTAGCAGTGAGACACTTACAAAAGAAAAAGATTCAACATTGCAAACCTCAAACTATCCCATTCAAATATCCCAACTTCAGAGCATCTGTTTCAATCCCAGATATGCTCTAAATATATTGACAGACTACAAAGATTCATTATCTTATTAGATTTTTAAATTTTGGAAAATTTTTAATTCTGAGAAGTGAGAAACCTGATTGCTATAAATTCCTTCAGGGAAAGTGTAAGTACTTCCATGAGAAAGTCCTGAAGCTACCAATATTCTCTTCAAACTGCTACTTACACCCACTTCTAAAAGAGTTCGGACAGCCACAAGAGAAGTAGTGGCCATATTTGTTAGAAGCCCGATCAAGCCCTACATGAGTTCAAAGTGAAATAGTTGAGGCACAAATCAAGACACAAAAACCTGAGAATAACTTCATAAAAGTTAGTAAATACCAAAGAACAGAAAATAGGAATATTAAAATGGGGATGTTATAAAAGGGAAATTTGGTCGCTTGAAGTTAAAAATCATGTTTTAAAAGAAAAACAGTTATTAAATCCGTAGGAACATTGTTTTCAAACTGCACAAACCTTCTCAAAATTCCCCCAAAAGTGATGACTTCATTTTCACATTCAAATAAATGACAATTAAATCAAATTTTTTCCTAAAACATGTTTTCCATTTACAAGCAACCAAATAAGGCCCACAAGAAAAAACAAGCATACCACAAAAACAGGCTGACTAAGTGTTGTCCGACCATCAACAGTAATCAAATGCAAAGATTTGCCGATCATCCCGTGCTTGCAAAGCACATCAAGTATCTCAGTGGAATTACTGAAACTGTTTGTAATCCTTATCAAACAGGTAACAGCTGTTTCTACAAGCTATACAGCCAAAAACAGGAAATAGACACACTAATTAGTGTTTTCAAAGATCAGAAGAAAACAAGAATTATTAGAGATATGCTTGTTTTAAATCAAGTAAACTATGCCTTGTAGTCTTCGTATTGCAGAATATTGCAAATAATAGGAACAGCCTCCAGGACAAGAGAAGAGCAATCCAACGGAAGCTTCTTACACACATTTGCAACCGTTGACAAAGCCACTCTCTGGACATAGGGAAAAAAGCAAGAGAAAAATTATTGGCAAGTCACGTTTCAATAAAAACAAGGGGAAACGGGAAAACGGAGGCCCAAAGTGAAAGAAAAATGAGCTACTTTTCACAATTAAAAAGTTAAGATACATCCTTCGGGATTAAATAAATAAGCTACCTGCACGCTTATGCAGAAAAAGTCTATGAAACCCAAGACAGCCATTACTGTCCCTGCTTGTAAACAGGGCACCGGTTGCTTCCGAGATATCTTTTCTAATGCTTGCAAGGACTACACAGACAAAAACACAATAGAATCAAATACAATTATGTTCCTTTGAGAACGGAAAAACATCCAAAACATACCTGCTCAGCCACGTCCAAGTACTCGATCGAGAGCAGCCGGCCACATAGCACCGGCAATGCTCCGTGCCGTACAATGGCATCCGCCGACCTCGGCATTACATCGCACAAATAAGTGATCGCTCGGATTGCCAAGAGCATTACGTCCGGATTTCCCTCGCTTCCCGCAAGTTTCACGAGCAAAGGCAATGCGTTGTCCACCGGAAAGTAACCCAACGAATCCTCCATGCAGAACGACAGCGCCTCACATAATTCCGTCAGTGACGCGAGTTGCACCGACGGACCAGCGTCTTCGGAGTCGAGAACAGAGATTATCCTCTGAAACTTGCCCCTACTAGCGCCGCAACCAGCACGAGGCTGATGATGAAGGGGATCGTCATCGGATTCGCATGAACCGTACGCTGAGTCGCCGCCGCCACGGCCCGAGGAGGAGGACTCCATGTCGCAATCGGGATGCTCGAATGATAGAGGCGGCGGAATAGAGGAGGTGGATGAGGCTGAGACAGCAGCGACCACATCGGCGGTAGCGAGGCGGAACTCAGAAGAGCTGCAGGCCCGCTTATCGGCGGGTAACTGATCGGCGACCTCAGAGCGCTTGCGACCCCTATCCATGGCGGTATCCAGCGTGAAGAAATGGAATTCCGTAGAGAGACGGAGAGGTAAAAACCAATTTCGATCGCTTGATATTAAGTTGAAATTGGTTTTACGAGGTAAAAATAAGAGATTAGACAGCGGGATTTGTAGATTTTAACCCTAGAACGCGCGATGGGACTGAGAATCCGGGAAGGAATTATACAGCGAGATCGGAGTCAGATTCGGCCGTCTAGCGCGAGTTGCGCTTGCATGAGTGGAGGTGAATTCTCTTGCCTCCTTTTGAGAATTTGGGCCATTGGGTGGTGGTCATGAGAAATCGGCCATAAGCGCATGGGCATTCCAAGCACCTTTTAAAGGATAAATAATTAGTGAATCTCACAAACTTAAATATACAATTATGTACTTCTTAAATGCTTGGTATTAAGATATTAATATCACATAAGTTCTAAATGTTTTATTTGGGAGAGTGAATATGATATTAAAAATAATATATCATCTCATTAGATGAGCATGACAATCAAGAAATCAAGAAGCTTTTTTATTCTTGTAATCATATATGACATGAAAAATAATTGAAATATTATGTTAAAATGAATTCAAATATAAAAAAGATAAATATTCTCAAATATTTTTTTTATTCTAAAGTAAGGTTCTCTATATGAAAAATGTCTATAATTAATCACATTTTAGTAGAAAGTATCTCCAAAAAAAACTCTTGATTAAAATAATGACAAATATCATTTTAATTCCAAAATTTAAGGCAATAAAGTTCTTTTAGAAAATTCAAATGAGAATGGTTTAAATTTCAATATTTTGTTTTAGAGATCAATGAAGTGGAGGTAAGGAGCATTCAATACCAAGAAATTCAAAAATACTCCAACTATCCTAAAGGTGAATTTTATTGTTTTTGAGTTTTTGGATTCTTTCATTTGAATGATCATTTTATTAAAATTTTGGGGTTTATATTTTGTCAACGTGATATTGAGAATCAAGTCGAGTTGAGTAGGTGTATGTTCAGGCTCGAGCTCATTGATTAAGCGCTTGTTTGAGCTTGATTTAAGCTTTTAAGTTTATGTTTGAGCTTGTGCTAGTTTATAAATATTATTTTCGAGATCAGCAAAAGCTCAACAAGCTTGATTCATATAGAAATTATTAAGCTTATTAATGAGTAGCTTGTTTAACAAAATAAATGAGCCATAATTAAGCTTTAATCAATTTTTATTTGAGCTTTATACAAGTAGTTTATAGGGAAAAAAATGCACAAGTCATATCCAAAAATGCTAATTAAACTGGAAAAATAAATATTTAAACTTAATTTTTCATGAACAAGCTATAATCATGTTGGTTCACGAGTTATAAATGATACTATTCATGAACATAAATGATCCAAATGATAAGTTATTCAACATTATTTATTTAGTAAACCATTATTTATGAAATTGTTGGTGCTCAATGGATTAGTTAATCAAATGATCATTAATGAGATTTGATCTAGTTTAGCCATGAATAACTTGTCAAAACCTCTATTCATTTCTAGCCCTAAACTCACTTAGTGTCAATTGGAGAGATCGAATGATAATGATGGATGATCATCCGATGGAGATCATGTTGATCTCAAAATGCTTCAAATATTCATGCTAGAATGGCTTTGTGATTTTTTTTCTCATAACATTAACTTAATAGAGAATTATAATGACATAATCATGGGTGGAATATTCAATGTGGATGGCATCTATCTAATATCTATCATGGATTTAATTTCAGTTGCATTAATATAATGTAAATGAAGTATATCATTTTTTTAAATTGTGCAGTACAATAGGTTTACTATATATCATTTTTTTTAAGTTGTATGGCAGGTTGCTTTGTTACTACATTTGGGTATAGTGTGTGTAGCCAGATCATTTGATTCAACTTTCAAAGATTCAAAAAAACTCTATTGTGGGTATTTGAATGTTGTGATATAGGATGTGGAAGATTTGCAAAATCTGATCATAAAGTCTCATGCACTCTAAACTCCTTAAAAAAATAATTGAATAATTGATTAATGCCATTTTTAATGTTAAATCATAAAAACTGATCTAAGTTCTCAACTATTTTCATTAATATAATTTATCAAAATTAATTTTGTATTATTTTTTTTTTATGAAACACTTATTAAAGTTAGAGTCGCTAAAGAGAATAAATAAGTTTTCAGAGAGTGAAAACTCTACTCAAATAAAAATGTGTTTATAGCAGTTGACTTTGGTTTGAGGTTCAAAAGTATCTTAGATAACTAGGAAGGCTCAACACATGACCCTAAAAAATCATACAATATATTAGACCAACTTGATAGTTTGAATGTACAATATGGTATAAATTGATGATGCATTGAATGTTTCTTTTTATAGTTATGCTAGTTTTATAAATGAATAATTGACTTCAACCTTACAAGTACTACTTAATTGGTTGTGGGTACTCAACTAGTAAGATTTCATATCTATGTATTATATCACAATATATCATTTAAAAAATCTCACTTAAGATAAAAAGATTGCAAAAAGTTTTTTAACCTTCAATATTTATCACTACATACCACTATGGAGCGCGCCTTTAGTTCTCATAAAAAAAAATGGAATTATAAAATGAAATGCGTACTTCTCATACCAAACCCAAGTTAATTATATATTTAGATGCTACATACTTGATTGATAATAAATCAAAATAAACATTTTGGCTAACAAACAATTAGTAATTGATTTTATTTGTTACATAACTTGCCAACATCAATATTTCTTTCAAATGTCAAAAAAATTTCAAAAACAAAATGATATATGAGTATCACTAATTAATGTTATCACACTCCATGTTAAGAGCATCATTAGAACCAACATATTTGCCATCTCCAATGACAAATTCACTTTCATCTAGAACCTAAAGCATCCATTTTTTGAGATCTTGTCCTTAGATAATAAATATACACTTGACTGTGAGTTATAATATTGGTTGAAGTCACATTACCTAGGAAAAGAAAAAGAAAATTTCTTGAATGCGATGTATTTTTTTCTTTTAACTCAACTTCAACATTTTGTTTTTGCACTTATTGAATCTATGTGAAGTTATTTTGGGGCAAGGTTAAATATCTGCCATAAATTGTCTAGTAAGTGAGCTCTGATCATAAATAATAAATTCTTTTAAACATGACTATATGAGTATCACTACTTAGTGTTAACGCACTCCATGTTAAAGGCATCATTAGCTCCAACATATGTGTCATCTCCAATGACAAATTCACCTTCATCTAGAATCTAAAGCGTCTGCTTTTTTGAGATCATATCCTTAGATACTAAATAAATATACACTCAACTGTGAGCTATAATATTGGTTGAAGTCACATTGCCTAGGAAAAGAAAGGGGATATTTATTAAATGCAATTTTTTTTTCTATTAACTCAACTTTTGCATCTTGTTTTTGCAATTCTTGAATCTATGTGAAGTTATTTTGAGGCAAGGTTAAACATATACCCTAAATTTTCTGAGTAAGTAAACTCTAATCATAACAAATAAATTCTCTTAAACATGATTATATGAGCATCACTAATTAATGTTAACGCACGACATGCTAAAGGCATCATTATTACCAGCATATGTGCCATCTCCAATGACAAATTCACCTTCATCAAGAACCTAGACCATCTGCTTTTTTGAGATCATATCTTTAGATGCTAAATAAATATACACTTGACTGTGAGCTATAATATTGGATGAAATCACATTGTCAAGGAAATGAAAGTGGAAATTTCTTGAACGCAATGTTTTTTTTTTCTTTTAACTCAACTTCAGCATTTTGTTTTTGCATTTCTTGAATCTATGTGAAGTTATTTTTGGGCAATGTTAAATATCTATCCTAAATTGTCTAAGCAATTGAGCTCTGATTATAAAGAATAATTTCTCTTAAACATGATTATATGAGCATCACTAATTAATTTTAATGCCCTCCATGCTAAGGGCATCATTAGCACTAGCAAATGTATCATCTCCAATGACAAATTCAAATTCATCTAGAGCCTAAAGCATTTGCTTTTTTGATATCATATCCTTAGATACTAAATAAATATACACTTGATTGTGACCTATAATATTGGTTGAAGTCACGTTGCTTGGAGAAAAAAAAAGGGAATTTTTTTATGCAAATTTTTTTTTCTCCTTTTAACTCAACTTTAGCAACTTGTTTTTGCACTTCTTGATACTATGTGAAGTTATTTTAGGGCAAGGCTAAATATCTGCCCTAAATTAGTTGAGCAAGTGAGCTCTAATCATAAAGAATAAATTCTCATAAACATGACTATATAAGCATCACTAATTAATGTTAACACCTCCATGCTAAGGGCATCATTAGCACTAGCATATGTGTCATCTCTAATGACAAATTCACCTTCATCTAAAACCTAAAGCAAACATGTTTTTGAGACCATATCCTTAGATACTAAATAAATATAAACTTGATTGTGAACTATAATATTGGTTGAAGTCACATTGTCGAAGAAAAGAAAGGGAAAATTTCTTGAAAGCAGTTTTTTTTTTTTTCTGTTAACTCAACTTCAACATTTTGTTTTTACACTTCCCAAGTTATTTTGAGGCAAGGTTAAATATCAGCCCTAAATTTTCTGAGCAAGTGAGCTCTAATCATAAAGAATAAATTCTCTTAAACATAACTATATTAGCATCACTAATTAATGTTAACGTGCTCCATGCTAAGGACATCATTAGCACCAGCATATGTGCCATCTTCAATGATATATTCACCTTCATCTAAAGCCTAAAACATCTGCTTATTTAGGATCATATCCTTAGATACTAAATAAATATACACTTAACTATGAGCTGTAATATTGGCTGAAGTCACATTGTTGAGGAAAAGAAAGGGGAAATTTCTTGAATGCAATGTTTTTTTTTCCTTTTAAATTAACTTCAGCATCTTGTTATTGCACTTCATATATCTATGTGAATTTAATTTGGAGCAATGTTAAATATCTGTCCTAAATTGTATGGGCAAGTGAGCTTTGATCATAAAAAATAAATTCTCTTAAACATAATTATATGAGCATCACTAATTAATGTTAGTGCACTCCACACTAAGGGCATCATTAGCACCATCATATGTGCCATCTCCAATGGCAAATTCACCTTCATCTAGAACCTAAAGCATTTGTTTTTTTAACATCATATACGTAGATACTAAACAAATATACACTTGATTGTGAACTATAGCATCCGCTGAAGCCACATTGCCTAGGAAAAGTAATGGGAAGTTTCTTGAAGGCAATGTTTCT